AATGTCTGTAATTGAGGAGAGTTATTTTTTAATGTCTAATTGAGGAGAGTTATTTTTAATGTCTGTAATTAGAGGAGAGTTATTTATTTTAAATTAGGCCAGCCATGGTGTTCAAACCCACATGATCAACCACAGCATGTCCTACCCCCTTATAACTGAGCTCTCTGGACTCAACCATGTTTCTACTCATCAGCTGTGGAGGAGCCACATTAGCAAGTGATCAATGAGAGAATGCAATTAGTGGATTGTGAGTACACATATTAGGTGCACAGTGTACATCCAGGTAATTTTTTTCTGATTTCATCAATGTGCTATTATTCATCTGGCAGTTACACAACATATACATGAATTAACAAAAATGGGGTATATGGGGAAATTCACCAAAAACTGGTGAAATCAACTATAGAAACTCGAAGTTGTGATAGTTGGTTTTTGGCCATAAGTTATGTAATTTCTTACATTATTTCGTGTCAAATAAAATATTCTATTTTATACAGACATTTCTAATACACAATGCTAACCACCTTTAATAGGCAAAACTGTTGAAATTTTCCATTTACAATTTATTAATCTTTAATCCAGCTTGCGTAGCTCAACAATTATTTTACAATTAAAAGATGATGCACATGTTGTATAAACTGTAGCATAGCTTTTAACCCTATGCTATACAAGTATCATAATCAAGTTTATATGATGTTTCTACTTGGGTTTAATTCAATTACACTCAAAATGTAACCCCTATAGTGTTTTGAAACTACTCGTGCAATACTAATTCCTTTGATTCCTTTTAGAATACTTACTACAGTTTTCATCTGAAGCATCATCACAGTCACTAGTGCCGTCACATTGCCAGTATTTGGGTATACACTCACCGGAGCCGCACTGATAGTTATCATCGTTACAAATATCACCTACAGAATATAGAAATTACACTAGTTAACATATTAAACCCACTGAACAACTTGCCTGTGATTGGTAGGGTAAGGGTAAGGGGGCGCATGGCCATGGCATGAGGGCGCTGTGCCCCTGTTCCCTTGTACTTACTACAGTTCTCCTCATCTGTGCCTTCATGGCAGTCTGCTTCACCATCACAAATCCATCTTAATGGAATACAACTATATTTGCATTGGAACATTGATGGTTCACAATTGTTGTCGAGGTGTTCTGAAAAAAAGACAGCATATTATGCCGATTCAGTAACAGTGCAAAAATTACAGTCTTGATTTTTTTTTTTTAAAAGATACCAGAACAATGTGATAGTGTAATAGATGTTAATTTACTTAAAGCGAGAGTGTCGTCACCTGCGTACGCGCAGGAATCAAGTTCCAAGCGATGATAACAACACACGCTAAAAACGCAAAGGGCTCATGGGTAGATGCTGTTTGTAAACAATGACACGCTATGGCCACCTGACGCATGCGTAGGCGAGGACTCCTCGGCTTTAACATGGTGAGAATATTTTCAGTTTGTGAAAAGTAGGTAGAGAAGATGTCAATAATTACCATTCACAGTTTCTATTTAATAACCTTACTATTATACACCTTCCAAATCTAATGAATTGATTATTGTAACTTTGTTTTCCAAAATGTTGCATAATAGTTTCATATTTGAAATTTTCACTTCCTAATATGGTAAGACGTTGATACCCGATGTAATGTTTTTACTGCATGTCTGTTATACAACTGTTGAAGATAGGTTTCTTGATGGATGGAGTGTTTAAATATTCTAATTATTGAATTGCCTCATTTGTAATGCAACATAATCATAAAAGAATACTGTAGAATATTTTATTTTAGCATTTTGTATGGAATTTATTTTCACTGATTTTTGACAAGTTGAATGTAAAACATATAAAAAAAATGTATATTCGCTGGATACTATTTTCACTGAATTAGGCGAAGGTTCCCGAACCCGCCTATTCACATAGTTCATACCCACCATAGACTCCGGTCAAGTCAAAATAACTATTTTGAACTGTAGGCATTAATCAGCGATTCTGCCGGTGACAAAGAGATAGAATCTAGGTCAGGAGAAGCCCCATGACCTCAAGATTCTTTTACCCCTTACGTCCAGAACCCATGTGACCGAGGCCACATGGCAGTGCCATAGGTAGCCGTCAATCACTCTGGTTCCTTTCTCTCCACCTCAAGAACTTAGACCAAAGCGACGGAAAGAGTGGGGAGGTTGGGGGGTGGAGTCTATGGTGGGTATGAACTATGTGAATAGGCGGGTCCGGAGAACCCTCGCCTAAATTCACTACGTTCAATTACCCACCATAGACTCCGGTCAGTCAAACTGACTATTTTGAACTGTAGGCAGAGTCAGACACCGATAGGTGGCGGGTTTTTTCGAGCAAACAGAAAAATGATGAAAGTCCTTTCCCAGTCCGGGATGAAAACAAACTCAACACCCGAGTTAAGACCCAAAAAAGGGTG